CACACAGAGCATCTGAATTGAACTTCAAATTTGGAAGTCCTCTGACCAGATTGAGTTTGTTAATCTGAGATATTCTTCTCATACTAACATGCCCCAATCTTCTGTGCCAGATCCACTGCTCGTTGTTAACAGACAGAAGACATTTTACGTTCTGACTCTTTAGTTCAGAAAGTTTGATTTTGTAAATGTTGTTTTTCCTCTTTCCATTAAACAGGATAGTCCCATCTTTCTGACTAACAGCTTTACATGATTTTTGATTAAAGATTATATCATAACCGTTATCACTTAATTGACTTATGGATAACAGATTATGCATCAATCCATCTACTAGCAGAACATTATTAATAGAGGGAAGATTTCCATTACCTACAGTTCCAGAGCCAATTATCTTTCCCCTCTGATTGCCTCCAAAGCCAACGTGGCCTCCAGGCTTAAGTTCCAGGCTTTGGAACATATGCCTTCTTCCCGTCATGTGTCGTGAGCAGCCAGAGTCCAGGTACCATGACTGGTGTTTCTGACTTGCTGCTAAAGATATCTGCAACATGTATTATTTTATCCTTAGGTACCCAGATCTTCTTGGGTCCTGATTTGTTAGTTTTACCAAAACTCTGGTTGAATTTTGGTTTCACAGAGTGCTTACTACTAGTATATTTGATGTCATGTGTGTGACCATACACAAAGTGTGAATTTAGAGGAGTGTGTTTAATGGTTAAATCCATGACATTCTTAGGTGTAGGAACCTTACCTTGGTATCCTATTCCTTTCCTGCCGTTTCTGCTAACTCCATAGATCATTGAAGCCATTCTGCTTCTATCTATGCTTTTAGCAAGGAACTTCTGGAAACTGTGATCATACTCCTTGATGATCTCATCAGCGTTGCTGGGAGTTTCAGAAATTGGTTCCTTCTGAGAGTTTTGTAAAGAGTTTTCTAATTTTGAAATTTTATCTCTCAGCTCAGAGTTTTCCAGTTTGAGACTCTCAGACTTATTAGAGTCAGATTCAAGATTCCTTTTCAGGTCTCTGAATTTAGCTCTAATCTGCTGATAACGTTCCAGAATTTCATTGAGGCTTTCAGCAAGTTCAGCCTTTGTAAAATTAACAGCGAAGTTAGGGAATACCTCTTCTGTGTCTGATTCTGAGTCTGATTCAGAAGCTTCACTGTCATCTGGAATGTTAGCCATGAGCGCTATGTTTGCCCTTTCATCATCTGATTCTGAGTCAGCTTCAGACGAGTCAGAGTCATCCCATGTGGCCATGAGACTTTTCTTCTTCTCTCTTCCAAACTTCTTTTTGGGCTTTTCCCTCTGAAGCTTTGGGCAGTCACTCTTGTAGTGTCCTTGCTCATTGCACTCGTAGCAGATGATGTCTTTTGTGTTTGGCTTCTTGCTACCGGAGGAGCCTTCAGATCTTCTGTATCCAGAGGAAGAATCTGTCCTTCTGTATCTGGAAGAAGACTCGTTCTGATCAGATCTTCTGGGATTCCTGAACTTCCTTTGTCTTTGCTTCCACAATTGATTTACTCTTCTGGAGAGAAGGGAAAGTTCGTCTTCTTCTGATGAGGATCCATCAGATGTTTCTTCAACTGCCTGCAAAACTTTAGATTCAGATTTTCTGTTAGATTTTAAAGCTAAAGGCTTACCTTGCTTCTGAGGCTCGTCAGCTTCTAGCTCTATCTCATGACTTCTGAGGGAGCTTATAAGTTCCTCCAGAGTGATTTTGTTGAGATCCTTCGCTAGCTTCAGAGCAGTAACCATAGGCCTCCACTGCTTGGGTAAACTTCTGATTATCTTCTTGACATGGTCAGCAGTAGAGTATCCTTTGTCCAGAACTTTGAGACCAGCTACCAGAATCTGGAATCTAGAGAACATAGTTTCAATGGATTCAGATTCTTCCATTTTGAACGCCTCATACTTCTGAATGAGCGCCAGAGCTTTTGTTTCTTTGACTTGAACGTTGCCCTCATGCGTCATTCTGAGAGAATCAAAGATATTCTTAGCTGTGTCTCTGTTGGAGATCTTTTCATACTCAGTATAGGAGATGGCACTGAGGAGGATGGTTCTGGCCTTATGGTGATTCTTGAAATCACGCTTTTGTTGATCAGTCATTGATTTTCTATCAATCTTCTGACCAGTTGCATTCACAGGGTGCGTGTATCCATCTGTCACCATATCCCACAGATCAGCATCATGTGCTAGAAAGAAGCTTTCAATTCTGTCTTTCCAGTAATCAAAGTTTTCTCCATCAAAGACTGGAGGTTTGCCGCTGAATCTGTCTCTGTCCTCATTGTTGTCATTGCTGAAATGAGAGTTGTTTCCTGCCATTGTGTTTTTCTGACGCTGGATCTTGTACTGACACGGTTAAGTGTTTTAGCTCAAAACCAGGAGCTCTGATGCCAATTGAAGGGGTGAAAAACACAAGAAGGGGGGGTTGAATTGTAAAACTGAAATCTTAAAGCAATTGACAAGATATTTTTATCCTGGTTCGTTTGATCTCAAACTACTCCAGTCCACCCGTCAAGGTGATTTCGCCTCTCTCCAACGAGGTCTTAATTCACTATATTCAACTGAATATTACAGACTGCTTTAACAACTGCTAAAGCCTTCTTGATTCAAACCACAATCCGGTTTGTCAAGGCAACACTTTCTTACAAAGGTATAAAACAAATGTGTGTGAATGTTTTCTACAAAACTATATCACAACTGTGATGTATACACAAATGAAGCTTAGAAACTTAGATTGCTAAACACTAATGGAGTATCAGAGTTTGTGGTTTAGCAAAACTGGTAGATGAAGATTATTGTTCAGCTTTGTGCGTGTAGAGAATTGGAGAGCATTAGCCATTATAATCTTCGAAGCCTTGTTTATATAGCACTTGAGAAGATGAACGTTGAATGCAATATTCTTGATTCAATGCTAATAACAAGCTTTCCTTTTTGAGCAGATCTTGTCTAGAATGATGCCGTTGGAATTAATTAGCGTTCAATGCACAGTACCGTTGCTTCTTCAATGCACGTTCTGGCTTGACTCATTCTGATTCTGCTTCGCTGCTGATGAACTATTGTTTTTGTATCAGAGTGTTTACGCGCAGTTCTGTTCATCAAGCTTCAGCATGTACTTGCGTTGATCATCTGATCTTGACGTTCTGATTCAGCAACTTCTGATGCTGGAGTATGAAATCAAATTCTGATGCTGAAGAAGTGATCTTGCTTATTTTAATCAGCGTATCTGCAAGTCAGAGCATAGTAATTTTAGGTAGCATATAGTTCAAACATGAAACATATAAATACTATATCTTTTCACTTTGTTATCATCAAAACTCAAATATAGGGTACTAGATTCAAACATTGTTCTAACAGATATGATTGCTCGATCACAAACTGAAGAGGAACATCTCGATCACCTGTACAAATTATTCGAGAGGCTGAAAAAGTACAAGCTGAGGTTAAACCCTAACAACTACACGTTTGGAGTACGATCTTGAAAGCTTCTAGGTTTTGTTGTCAGCAATAAAGGCATTAAATTTGACCCTGCCAAGGTAAAGGCCATCCAAGAAATTTCAGTCCCCTTTCTTGTGTTTTTCTATTCTTTACTCAGGTCATCAGAATAGGGTTGATGTGCAGAAGAAGTAAAAAGACTCACTTACTGTGCCACACAACTAACTTGTTGTACTTTTTCAATTTTTCACACATTCATAAAAAAAACATATTCATTCAATCATATATGGGGTTCTAACAATTACTCAGATGTTTTCGAAAATTTCGAACATGCTCAGGTTAAAATTCCCCACATGTCTAAATCCTACTTGCTCATGGCATTGTTAGTAATACACAAAAACATACAAATATAAAAATAAAGTTGGGTTGTCACCTAATAAGAGCTTGTTTAACACCATTAGTTCGACGCCTATTTTTATTTCAAGGGTCATCTTGTTGATCGACTGTTATGCTTTTATCAACCTTACCACAGAGGTACAATTTTAATTTTTGATTGTTGAGTGTCTTGGTTATTTTTGAAACTTGATCTTCTAATTTCCATTGCTCCATACAGTTTGGCTTCCTTGATCTTGAATGGTCCATAGTACTTTGATATTGATTTTCTTGGGAACAACTTAAGCCTAGAATTGAATAGTAATACTATTTCTCCTGGTATGAGTTTTCTTCTAATGAGGCACTGATCATGGTTCTATAAGCCATCACTAGCACGCTCCAATAGCTTAAAAACCTCAACGAAAGTTAATGGTGGAGCGGTATGAGGAAAGACACCAGACCGCCAAAACTTGAGGCTACATCGTCGAACTAATTGTTTGGATTGAGAGAAAGAGAATAAGGGAAATAGGTTGACTTATAGAGAAGACAAAAAAAAGAAGTTTTACTAATAAATAGAGAAATCCATCTACTTTGGGCTGACAATGAACCGAACCAACTCGAAAATAGTTCGAGATTCGATTTGGTAATTAATTTGTTGGACTTGGTTCATGAACCAAATAAGTCGAATTTGAGCTCAAAATTAAATTCGTAAAATAAATGAGTTGAACTTGAGCCATGTATAGTTCGATTCGTTTGGTTAATGAACGAACTCGATATATAAGTTTCACGAAGACATCAATACTTAATTTTTATATTTATTTATATCATTTAAAAGATGATAAAATAATTTATAATTCTATTGATTAAAAAAAATCCAAATTCAACATAGTAAAATATATGTTACAAACTTAAGTTATAACATTTCATTATTTGCTCATATTACTTACTTTATGATAATATCTTGAATTACAAACATTGTTTCGAATTTTCATTTCTTCCTCCTTGTACTGCTATCCTTATTCTTCAGTCTTCTCTATCCTTATTTTTTTTCTTCCGATAAATTCACCGTAACCGGCGCGAAACTGCAACGGCCACTACATCCGCCGTTCCCCTCTCTTTCCGCCGCAATCGGCCGCGGTTAACTATCTAGTTATTTTTTCAGATCTAGCTTTGTTATGTAGTGCAGATTGAAAAATGGAGGCATTAGTAGCATGTTATGGTGATGGTTCTGATTCTGATTCAGATTCAGACTCTGAATCTTGTTCCCATTCAAATCCAACTTTAGGTTACTCAGAAGGACGTGCGCCGTTGCCACCCCGAGCAACCGAAGTATGTGTCCAGCCCTTGCCTCCACCTCCAATTGAGCTCCTTCATCCTCCAAATTTTCTCGGTATGATGGGTTTTAAGTTGATTTTCTTGTTACAAATTAGGAGTCAAGAGAATTAAAATATGTTCCTTGTTGATAGGTTTAGGTTATAAATTAGAAATAATTTTCTCGGTAGTTGCATATGATTTCTATTATTGATGAATATTTGTTTTTGTGATGGTGAAGGGCCTCAAGATATGCAGATACATCAGACAAATAAAATTAGGAGCTTCCCTCATGTTGATGGTAACTATGCCTTACATGTATATATACCAAGTAAGTTAACATTGTCTTGTGTATGAAAACACTTTTCTGTTCTGCCATACAGTGGTTAATTTAATTTATCATGCATTACTTGTCTATGCATTGCATATGATTATGCCATTGCATATGTATCTCAGCATGTAACTTAGTTAGGAAATTACCCATCACGTTTTCTTAAATCTATGGTCTGACATGATTTAGTTATCACCTGCTGTATATTTCTTGATGACATGAATGTTTAATTATCATTTATAAGTAGGTTCGGGTGATCTAAAGTTGGCCTGCAATTCTTATTTGGAATTATAAGTTCCTGTTTAGACATTTATTGCATGTTTTAGTTCATATTTGTGAGGCAAATGTGGGTTTTGAATCACAAACTTTATTTTAATCCTTTTTGGTTATGTTTGGGTGTTCCCAATTCGAATTAATTTTACTTTTAGGCCTTGGTGTTACTAGAATTGATAAAATGTAACTTGTGTTAGATTGAAAAGTCACTTTGTTTTGCATAAAATCTGCTCTTAGAGTATAAAGTATAAACATTTAAAGACAAATCACTTCGCATCAACCTCAATTTTAACAAAATCAATATGCATAGTTCAGTTCATTCAAACTTGTATTTGAATAACAGACACCCAAACAGACATATTTAAGAAGCTAGAGTTAGTTACTTGGTGTTAGTTGAGATAGAGATTGCTAGAGATGTTTGGGGCATCAAATCGTTCCAATTATATTACTATGGAGGTAAACGGGTTTGTCCCCAAGTATTGTATTTCAATTCAAGCACCGCTTCTCAAAGTCAATAACATTTGAATGTCACTTGTATTGAATGGAAGTTCTTGAATTTAGGCAAACCAGAGTTGTGAATCGCGGCGCGCCAGGCCGGGGCGGCACCCACCCGCACGAGCACCTGGGTGTGGTTGCGGTGAATGAATTGCGGGCGCTAAGGGCGCTAAACCGGGTCGTGGGTCTTTCCCGGGCTGAGCAGAAATTCGATATTGTTTTCATTTTTTTAACCTTTTCTCTGTGAATTTACGATTTTTAAAAGAAAAGATGAAGAGGAATGCAGAATAGAAAGAGAAGATGAAGAGAGGTACAATATTAGAAAGGGAAAAAACTTAGATGCAAACAAACATAACATCTTGATTTACAAACATCCAATCAGTGTTGTCGATGGTGGATGGCGGTCCATGGCGGAGAGCCAAAATCCTGCCATAGCGGCCGCATTGTGGTGCCGTTATTGCGGATTATGACGGAAAAACCAGCAATAGCGGCCAATATTTACCATTGCGGCGAGCCAAAAACCGCCATGTATATCCGCCATAGCGGCCATGGCGGGGCAATTTGATAACACTGCATCCAATCACAAATTTTTTATTAATTAAAAATAAGAATAAAATATTCTCTCTTCTTCATTATCATAACCACCTCATGAATCCAATTAAAAAATAAATTAAATTTTAAATAAATTAAAAATTTCTTTATTTTTATTGGCTGTTTTTAAGAATAAATTAAAAATTTCTTTATTTTTATTGGCTGTTTTTAAAAATAAAGATTTAGGTCCTTTGCATGCAAGTTTTTCTCATTAGAAAGAAAGAGAAGATGAAGGGGTAGAATAAATGCTGATTCATTTTTTATTGATAAAATAGAGTTAAAAAGTCAAAATAATTAATTTGTTCAATCTTATCAACAAGTACCGAGTAACATACAGCTTAAAATTAATTTGTACACTTATCTCCTCACATACAGTAAACATTTAATAAAAATAATAACTTTAATAATAAAAATGACACTTATCTCCTTACATACTGTAAAACATTTAATAAAAATAATAACTTTAATAATAGAAATGATAATAATATACTATTGGAACGAATAATTAAATCTTAAACAATTTTATTTTATTAATTTGATTCTTATAAAACTTATATGGGGATTGTGTTATTTGTATAGATTATTTATATATTTAATTTTAAAAATAGTCAATTCTAAAAAGTCAACGAAAGATATCCCGCTCTCCGCTATCATGCTATTCCCATTTTTGGAGTCGTTCACTCCGCTCCACTATCCGAGATTAATAACTCTTAAGCAAACAACAAACGAAATGTACGTGCATGACTTATCTTAGAATTTGGGTTTCTGCCTAACTCATTCCTAAAAGCATGCTCAAGGGGTCATGAGTACCTTATGGGGACTAATTTGCATATACTTATAGTCCGTGTGTGATTTCAACACACCCATTCATCCATATGATTGAATACCTAGAAGAAGGACAAATGCTAGAATAGGCTATTATACCATCTTAGATTTTGATATTAGACTTAAGTGCAAAGCTAGCTCAGTGGTTGATGGAATTAACTGCAAAGTTCTGAATTAATAATTGAAGTCAATTCCAAAGGTGGTTGACATTTTATTTATTTTTCAATTGTTTGTGCAATCAAATTTATCTCAGTTAATTCCTCATGCTTGAATTAGAGATCAAATTCTCTTGACTAGCCTAGTATAATACCTTTATACGACACCCCCTTTCTCTCAAATCAAATATATATAACCCCTGAATTGGAACAACAATTAATGTGAAAGAGTTTATAAGATTCACATATGTGCTAATATCAATCCCTTGATCGTTAGAAAATATGGTGATTGACTTCCTAAGTCTAATTCCATGTTGCACAAATGAATGTATGCTCAATCCTTTTGTTGATCAATTGGAACAAGCATTGTATGAGAATTCACATGAACCACATATATGCTAATGTCATGGAAGCATTAAGTTAACATTCACTTACCTAAAAGGTATAAACTTGAATTAAGAACAAATTACATAAAGTTTAGATTCAGATTCATCCCCAATACAAAGTTTAGCTACTCATGAAGTAAGAGAAACAAGAATTGAATGAGATCAAAGAGAGGTTCGAGTAAATTCAAGTCTCGACTAAAAGGACATCCAAATTTGTGTTTTGACCTCATCTTACAAAAAAAATCATTCTCTTTCTAAAAGCTATTTGTATTGTAATGGTAAAACTTGACTGGCAGCACCACAACATTCTGAATACCCTGATTTCATACTCAAGCGCACCCTAGAATGGCTTAGATGAATTGGCCATCACTTGTATCTATATTAGTCATTCTTAACTTAATCAATTCTCCCTTTCTCCTCATCCCGTCATCCATAAATATGATGTGGGCTTGATATACATTTACAACGTATCCTCCAAACTCTTAACTTCCTTTCAAACTTCTAACTTCTAAATTTTCTGTTATATAACCCCCTTTCTGAGCTAAATCCTCCAAACTTCTAACTTCCTTCCCAACTTCTAATTTTCTCTTTTATTCATTCTTTGATATACACTGTCCATATTTTCTACATCTCATTATGTTATCCCTATAACACTTTATATCACCTTTATCAAAGTGCTTCAACTTAAGACTAAAGGAGTTGAGTACCTTATTATTTGTTGTTGCTGTCGATAATTATCATGATCACCTAAAGAATCAAGAAATACATAATTTGATATTCTTAAATTTATAGATACACCTTTTTGAGATTTTCATGTGATGAATTTGTTGATGTTCAATGGGATATTCCCAAAGTTGGTTGATTCGAAAGGTTTTGTCCCTCCAAATGTTTTGTCATGTTTAGCCACAACTTGCAAGACTATTTAACTTTTGATGTCATACTTGTACATCCATGTTTCTTCATATCACTTGAGTATACTTCATAATTCTATAAAATTTGTTCAAAAGTGCTCAAACTTTAAGGTGCAGTGACTTCAGACTCAGACTGCAATTGTTCTGTTTCAGTTAATATTTCATCTCCATCGAAAAAAGAACTAGCTGCATTCTTGAAGAAAATCTCATCTCAGGAACCAAGTCTTCATGTTGTTGATGTTGATGTCCCACTTAACATCCTCTGCAAAAATGATGAGAAACTCGAACAAGTTGCATTAGGAAGAGAGTTCCACATAAGTTTGGGAAGAACTGTTCCAATACGGGTACATCAGATTGACTCGGTGGTCTCAATGTTAAGACAGAAGCTTCAAACTCAACAAAAGTCAGTTTTTATTCTTATTTTGTTCATTCATGAAAAATGGAACAAAATATTTTTATCAGCCTCTTACCTGATTGTTGCCTTTAACTTGTCATTTCGAAGCAGTTATTGGATTGACTTTCACAACTGGGAGGTTTTTGTTAATGATGATCGCACACGCACCTTCCTTTCAGTAGAAGTTGTTCACAGTGGGCTTGTAGAGGTATGCGTCATAGTCCTTTCTCTTCCAATTCTTACATGTCTCTAATTTTCATTTATTTATTCTCTCCACTCCAGTTAATTTTTGTTTGTTATTCTTGCGAATTAGTTCTCTCTTTTGTTTATCACATATGATATCTGTGTTTCTTTTCGATTGGTTTCAGATACATAAGCAAATTGAAGCAGTCAATACAATTTACAAGCTTCACAATCTTCCTGAATTTTACGAGGTCAGTTTTTGTAACTATGCTTTGAATATCAGTGAACGACAACTATTTTTGAAAAGAAACTCTAGTAGATTAGGTTTTCTTTTATCATCGCCGTTCTATCAAACTTGTTTTCTTTACTAGTACTTAATAGCTGGAATTTCTGTTTTCTTTACTAGTACTTAATAGCGGAATTTCTGTACAGGATCCGCGTCCTCACATATCCTTAGCATGGTCACTGGGCGACACCTCCGTTTCCCTAAAGAAAGTTGTGGGTGAGGAAATGAAGAAATGTGTTGGAAAACCTTTGAAGAAGTGTATTTTTACATGTAAATTCAAAGGCATCGAGTGTAAGATTGGTAATAAAACATACACAATATGTAAAGATTCAGATAGATGATAATGTGTGGTTTATGTGTATGGTTTTTAGTAAGAATTTGACATATAATGTGAAATTTAATCGTATTTGCATCATATTAAAACTAATATATATTTGAAATTTATACTTATATAATATTATAAATTTATTGATATTTAAACTTCCAACTTAATTATAAAGTTAAAATATATCAAATTTGAAGGAAGATGGGGATAAACCGGCAGATAAATTTACAAAAAAATCTTTTAAGATTGATGGAGAGCGCTCCCTCAGACTACAAAGTCTCTACTCAAGCCACGCAAACAAAATTTGCAACTTAGATTATGTTGATATGCAATTTTTTTTATATTTTCACAATTACTATTATAAGATTTAAAGTACACATTGAAAAACAGTTTAAACCACACTTAAAAGAACAATCTTTGTAAGTTTTCTCCTTTATATAAATATGTGCATTGTATCTTAAGAATGCACTACTAATCATAAATGGATGTTATTCATTTATATAATATAATTTCTAGTTTATTAGTCTTTAGGTGTGTGACCAATTTTATAAATTTTTGTAACACTATCAATAATATTTGATCTGGATTGGGCCTACACTTGCCTTTTGAACGGGAAGTCCAAAAACAGTCCAAGTTAGGGACCGTTGGAGGACATGGCCCACGATCCCACGACAACCATCTTAAACTGTCCTCCGGAAATCACGGGTCCAATCCTGCTCTCGCGGAGCAGTTGACCAGGGGGAAGTCCACTTGCTGGACTCCATACACACGTAAGCCCTGACAGTTCTTGTTATTGGGCCTCAACGTGGCCCAATAGTAGAAACCTTGGCCCAGCGCTAGGGGCTATAAATATTTTCTCTCCTAAGAGGGTCAGGTATTCAATTCAACATCTCTCTGACCACATACTTGCTTGCTCATTCCGCAACATACTTTGTCATCAGAGTGTCTTGCAGGTACCCTCCATCTCATTTAACTTCTGCCTGAGCTAGCTGTGACGGTTCATTTCTGATCCGGTAAGATCAGTGGCGCCGTCTGTGGGAATCTTGCTTCCCCGTCTTCTATTTACTTGAGACTAAATCTAAATGATTCCCGACTGTCATGGCTGACCAGACTCCAGAGAACATGAATGTCTGTATCATCGACGTCAACAACAACGCCTACAATAATGCTGGCCTCGACAACGCCGGTACCACCGACCATAACACAACCCCCAACGTTAACATGCCCGGGCCTTCTGACTATAGAGACGGAGCAACTGCTTCGTCATCATCACTGCCTCGTCGACTCGAAGATGATCGGCTACCTCCCCAGAACTACCAACACGTCCAGTTCCATGAGGCCCCCCGTTTCCGCCGGGGCAGACGCCACGACTAAGGCACTGTTCGCGACGATAAATCAGATCAACTACCTGATCTTCGTCCAGGGAGAAAGATTGAGGGCGCTCGAAGATGATCGGAGACCCCCAAGAAGACACCGGAGACCTCAATCTCCTCCTCCTCGACAAGCAGAGGAACATCCCCAATCTCCCCTGCGGAGACGTAGTCAGGACATCTCTCGAAGCCCTTCTCCCTGACCAATCGGGCGACGACCCACTTTAGAAAGGGAGCAGCCCATTGATACGGGGAGGCACGATCACGGCCCCTCGCGTCAAGAACGAAGACCCCCTGGAGACAGAAACGGGGGAAACCACGAACTGCCATACCGCCCGAGGACCGCTCCGCGCGACCAGGGACACCGTAACCGCCACTACGTCAGATCTCTGTCTCGCTCGCCCGAACGGAGTGACGAGGACGACCTCTGCGGTCCCTTGTCACAAGCTATCATGGAGACACCCATTCCCCCGGGCATGGAGAAGACTCCCCACCTAAAGGAATATGACGGCATCGCCGACCTGGTCGACCATATAGACGGGTTTGAAGCCATGCTACACTGTCACAATGTCGGGGGACCGATCAAATGCCGGTTGTTCTCCACGGCTTTGAGGAAAGCTGCGATGGATTTGTACAAAGGTCTCGCCCTGGGGTCAATTACCTCTTGGAGAAACCTGAAGAACCAATTCATCAGTTCATTCACTACTTCACGACGACACCCGAAGATCGAAGCAGCCCTCGAGGCCATCGTCCAGAGACACGATGAGACCCCGAGGGAATTTATTGATTGGTTCAACCGGGAGGCCATCCAGGTCCTCTGTACGGATCACATGAAGAGATACCTGCTCGAGAGGGGACTCCTCCCGGGAACGAAATTCAAAAAGGTCGTAGGCATCGAACCACCCCGGACGTTCGATGCCCTCCTCGAGAAAGCCAGAGCCTACATGGACTACGAGGAGAGAGAAGCGGCCAACAGAGCCCGGAATCCCAGGAATCACGGATCTACCAGTCATCCACGACAAGACACCGCCCCTCCTCGACGAACTGGCGAGAAGAGAAGGGACGACAAACCCCGAGACGCCCGGGAACAAAGGGGACCCTCGGGGAGGTTCACTGAGTACACTCCGCTAACGGCTTCCCGCGAGCGCATCTTAGCAGAGTGCGCGGATACAAATTTCAAGGAAGACGACGTCAAGCGTCCTCGCCTCGCTCCTACTAAACCCGGGGTAGATCGAAGCAAGTACTGCCAGTATCACCAGAGCCATGGGCACTTGACCGAAGATTGTGTCCATCTCAAGGACGCCATTGAGACCCTCATAAAAGGGGGGAGACTCGGACAATATCGGCGTGGCGACGACCCTCGTTGAGATGCCCGTGAAACAAGGGAGGTAGAGGAGGATGCCGGACCATCTGACGAGTCGGTCCCCATCCAAACCGCATTCTCTGTCACGAGACGAGAGGACTTTTACGTCCCCAAACATATGCAAGAGCCTCTGTCTATGCACAACAGGTGGGAAAACTTCTCCTCCATGGTCATAAATGGTGGAGGGTTTAATGATTTGACTATAAATTCAACAAAGAGGAATCTTGACGAATTGGTCGACGCGGCTCCCCCGCAAATGGTGATCTTCGAGAGGGTGAAAGGCAGATCAGAGCTGATCACCTTTTAACTCGAGGAGCTTCACGGGGCCCCCCCAATTCAGCCATCCCTCTTCTGATAAAGGCGAGAATGGCCAACTTCGACGTCCATCGCGTCCTAGTCGACGAGGGAAGTTCTATCGACGTGATGTACAACCAGCTGTTCAGAACCCTATAGCTCGATGATTCTCACCTTTCACCATACATGGGGTCAGACTTGCAGGGATTTAATGGCTCGACCTCCAAGCCGTGGGGGTACGTGGAGTTTATGGTCACCTTCGGCGAAGATACTGCTACCAGGAAGGTCAAGGTGTGCTTCCTCGTCATCGACTGCCCATCCCTCTACAACTGCATCCATGGGAGGCGGACACTGGCAGAGCTGACGGTTGTGCCCTCCACCATCCATCTGAAGATGAAGTTCTACACCAAGAGGGCACGGGTCTCCACCATTCAAGGCGACCTAGCAGCCGCTCGAAGATGCTTCAACGCGGCGGCCAAGGGACAAAGCACAGTCGACACCGGGGCACGGCCCGCCAAGAAAGCTATAACTGCGCGACCAGAGCCTCAGTAGTCAGAGCTACAACCCATCAGAGAGGAGGTACAGAGGGCCCCTCCAAAGGTCGATTCGATCTCGCTGGGAACTCGCTTCGACCAAGACGTACCCTCCAACGGCGAGCAGGTGTTCCTCCGACCAATTCCGGATATAGACTTTGAGCTCGTCCCTCTCAGTGAAGACCCGAGCAGAGGGGTGAAGATTGGAATCAGACTCCCCGACTTAGTGAGAAAGCAGATCAAGGTCTGCTTGAGGGAGAATGCAGATCTGTTCACATGGAGCACTGCAGAGATGCCCGGTCTCGACCCTGAGGTTGCCTGTTATCAACTCACCATTGATCCAGCCGCTAGGACAGTAGTACAACATAGGCGTAGGCAGTCTCCCGAGAAAGCGGAGACTGTTGAAAAAGTTGTAAAAGACCTCAAAGAGGCAAAATTTATTTTTGAAGCCCAGTATTCAACCTGGCTGTCAAATATTGTACTTGTTAAGAAAAGTAATGGAAAATGGCATATGTGTGTTGACTATACCGATCTTAATCGGGCATGCCCCAAAGATGCATTTCCCTTGCCTAATATTGACATGCTGGTCGACAACTCGGCCGACTATAAAATTTTATCTTTTATGGACGCCTATTCGGGCTATAACCAAATCCCAATAGAAATGAGCGACAAACACTGCACTGCTTTCATGACCAGCTCGGGCAATTATTACTACAACGTAATGCCATTCGGTCTGAAAAATGCAGGAGCAACGTATCAGCGGATGATGAACAAAGTCTTCCACAACCAGATCAGAGATATGATCGAGGTATACATGGACGACATGATCGTCGAATCCCAAGTAGACACCGACCATGTCGCTCATCTCAGGGAAGTCTTTGCCCAAGCAAGGCAATGTAGAATGAGGTTTAACCTCGAGAAGTGCACGTTCAGGGTTAAGGAAGACAAGTTCCTCGGCTTCTACCTAACAGAACGAGGAATCAAAGCCAACCCCGACAAGTGCCGAGCTTTCTCTGACCTCCCTACACCCACGTCGAAGAAATCCATACAAGTCTTGAATGTTATGCTCTCTTCACTCTCCCATTTTGTTGCAAAATCCGCTCAACACGCCATGCCTTTCTTCAAACCCCTACGCAAGAAGGCAGCTTTTGAGTGGACCGAGGAATGTGAACATGCCCTTATCCATCTCAAACAAAGCCTCTCACAGCCGCTCGTGCTATCACGACCATTCGACGAGGATACCTTATTTCTATACCTGCCAGTCTCCGTTGAAGCTGTCAGTGCGCCCTCATTCGCGAGACTCACGATGAATAAAAACCCATTTATTTCACGAGCAAAGCGCTTCAGGGGCCCGAGGTCAGATACCAACAGACCGAGAAGGTGGATTTGGCCATCGTCAACGCAGCGAGAAGGCTCAGACACTATTTCCTCGCACACACAATCGTTGTACAAACAA